GCTATAGACAGAAGATGTCTCTGAATGACTCCCTCTTTCACTGCTTACCAAGCACCAACTAAGTATCTGGGATACGTCGATGAACAAATGGACAGAAGTTCCTGCCTAAACGAAAGTTAAATCAAAGTGAGGTAAAACAAACAAACAATAGACAGAACAAGCAAGCAAATCAGATAGTATGTGGGGAACTGTCAGACACTATGGGGGAAAGTAGACCATGTTAAGGGGTGTAAGAAGGCTGAAAAGACTGTTTCTGACTTCCTGTAGGGAGGTCAGAGTAGATCTCATTGAGAAAGTGAGAAGCTGTCAAGAGGGAAGGGAGGTAGCCCTGTGGCTATTGAGGACATGTTGCAGGAAGAGAGACCTACCAGTGCAGAGACTCCAGGCAGGAGCAACCCTGACAGAGCAAAGATGAGGCGAGGAGGGCAGTGCACAGATGGGGAATGAGTGAAGCAGAGGAGTAGCAAGAGGTGAGGTCGGAGACTGTCAAATCACACGAGGCATCATATAGACTCGGACTGTGCAAGGTCTTGAGCAAAGAGTAACACGATGACACTTAGTTTTAAAAAGATCACTCTGGCCATTGTGTTGAGAACAAATGAGAGAAACAGAAGGGGAAGCAAGAAGATCAGCTCCCAGGCTGCCGCAATCATCCAGCAGAAGGAGGATGGTGGCTTGAATCAGGGGTCAACGTGAGCAGAGAGCAGCAGGATTTTCTGGTTGGATTACACATGGGGTTTGGAAAAAAGAGGGTGGAAAAAGATATGTCCAAGGTCTTGACCTCTAAAAGTGTGGTTAACAGTCCCAGAGGGGTGGATTGAAAAAAAATGGAAATTAGAAGATCAATTAGGAGGGTCTTGCATAATCTAGACATGAGATGATGAAGATGTGAACAAGATGGTGGTGGGGGTTATAGAGATACAGATGGATTTTAAAAGGTTGAGGTAAAATTGACAAAGTAAAAGAATGAATCTTTCATATTGACATTTTGTGGCAGGATCCTCAATATCCATTCTCCTTTTCTCTAATGATATAAAATTTTTAGCTGAATACATGGGTGCCCAGCCAAAGATCACATTTTCCAGGTTCTCTTGCAGCTAGATGTGGCAGGTGACAAGTTCTGGCCCAATGGATGTGAGTGGAAGCGATAATTACAACTTCCAAATTGTGCCCTTCCTTAGAAGGCATTTCCCCTTCCCACTGGCTTCTGTATGGAACTGACGGCAGGGGGAGAGCACTCACCTTGGACCCTGAAATGTAAAGTGCACATGGGATGGCAGCGCAAAATAGTCAAACCAAACATCAATCCATGACTGTCTAGTTAGATTTGTTTGCTTCATTGTTAATGCCTAACCTTTAGCAACTAATAAAAACCCTTTTAGTTAGACCAAGAACAAAGCCCCAATACATATACTAGTCTCATGAAGATAGGAGAGTATTTAACAAAGAAGAATTTAATTCCTACATGCCTCTGCTCGTTGGTTCCTAAAATATCTGAATAGTATTTGAGCTTCAATGCCCTGAGTCACTGCACAAGAGGCTCAAATCTGTAGTAAATTGCTGCTTACAGAACTACAGTTTACTTAATCCATTGCTTCTCTTTCAATCAGGAGGCCCAATTCAACAGCATATCCTGAAGCACAAGTGTCAGGAGGATATATTATGTAATCTCCTTTCAGGGCAGAAAACAGCATCACTAATAAACTCCATACAACCCAGCCATTACCTTCTGATTGATTGATGAGCCAAGTCTGTGATGACAGACTCCCCTCACCCAAAGGAGACAAGATCGAGTTCTAAGTTGGCACTGAACAAAAACATATACCTTATTCAAAGGTAAATCCTAGCTGTGTGGGAGTGTAATATGTCACCACTGAATACAGAAGGGATTCAGCCTAAATCTGTGCAGCCCATAGTGTAGCCCTGGCCAACAAGCCTTTACAAGTTCACTAATCAAGTCCACATGGGCAGCCCACCACCTATGGTGCCCAGCAGTGTCCAACTACTATCCACAGTAAAATTAACCATTTTACATAGTGACCTAGGAAAATACCTATCTTTATCAATTTCAATGTATTTGCTATTTTCTAGTCTATTCTAATTAGTTTCATTAAAAAGAATTGCTAGTAGATCCACTAAGTTAATTCCATACCCCATAGTTTGTGACCTGTAGTCTAAACAACTCATCTAGATCATCTCTAAGGGCCTTTTCAACCCCAATTCTGGGAACCATCCTCAGGGCTGACTAATATTCACATCCAGGGCTATTTCCTGTGACCCTCTCAACATTAGTGTAACATGGGCAGAAGAACTTGCAAGATCCACCACAGATCACATGGCCGGGGCATGAAGGAGCAGGGGCCGGAACCCCGTGATCACACCTCAGCAGCCATGCTTGCCCTGGAGCTCTTCTTCTTTCTGAGAATTCTACCTTCTAATCACCCTCTGCCTTCCAGTTTCAACTTAAATGCTCCTCCTGCTTTGTCAAAAGTGTAATGCAAATCTAGCAAACACATTCCAAGAACTTAATGTTCATTTTTATGTTCCTGCCCTGCCTAGATCCTTTAGGAACTAGCTCGTGCCAGCCACAGGTGCATGAAACTCAGTCCCTGGCCTGGAAGAGCTCTCATTCCAGCAGGAAAAAATCCACCCACCCATCTGCCCTGCACAAGGCCCCTTTCCAAGCCTCCCTTTCCTTTTGTTTCCTCAATGATAACCTCTTTGTTCTGGTTAACCTCAGCATGATCCTCCCATCTGGCAGAAGGAAAGCACCAAAGCTCAAGCCTTCCCTAGAGACTCTGTGAGGCCTGGAGGGTCAACAGGACACCCAGAAGGTGGCACTCCCATGGGAGAAGAAGGATACCCCCAGGCAGCACTGCTCCCTCCCATTGCTTCCCCTCTGTCCCCAAGGCAGGCCAACAGGGGCCAACATCCCTCTAGATTTCCTCCTCACCCCTGACCAGCATCAGCTGACTTCAGAGATGTACAAAAATGTGGTTTAACCTCATGCAAAAGTCAGTTCCCCTAGATTTATGGATAACATTCCATTTATATGACTTGGGAGTGAAAAACTTACATTAGAGACAAAGGACAAAGGCAAGGGGCTCTTAGGGCACCAAACTTAGGATTTTTAGAAAAGCCCTTCCTTTATTTTCTTAACTATTCATAAAGCAGTACGTGCCAACCGGTAATATGCCAGTCCTGCTAAGGCAATTATTTTCAAAATGACTGAAGCCCACAGTGGCAATTCATTATTTCGCTTTCCAGCATCCATCCCTCCTCCCTCTGATGGCAGTATTCAGATTTACTGTGAGAAACCACAGCCCCTTTATTCTCAGCCAGCTGGTGTGGGTGGCCCTACCTTAAACCCCATCTTTAACTCCAGGCACAGGCTCATGTTACTGGTGATTGTTTGGGGATGGGAAGGGAATCTAATCAGAGTCAATAAGCAAGAAGGATTCTGAAGCTTCAGGGAAAGTGTCCTTTCTTTTGGGAAGGAGCTCTCAGAAGAAAATATCTGTCTAGTCTCGGAAGGCATGGCACAAGAACAGTCCCACTGGGGACTGTGGCAGTACTGAGGGGAAGGCTCCCTGGGATGCAGGCTGATGATGAAGCTGACATTGCAGAGACAGAGCAGAGAGCCAGAGGGAATACCCATTATCAGGAATGTCATCTATATTTCTGGGTCAAGCCTCATCTGCAGCCCTGCCTCTAGGTTTCTTTAGTTAAGGGAGTCTTTGTTTGCTTTAGCCAGTTTGAGTTATCTAACACTTACTACCAAAGTAATTCAAACTGATGCCAACACCTTAAATACTTCACAAGGGGTAGTGTGCAAAGAATTTAAGGTCAGATCTCTTTTGGGAAGAGCAGAAGGTGGGTGTGATAGATTAAGGTTGAGAGAAAGATTTTTTTTTTCCATCCCTGCTTCTATTAATTCTGCAGGAAACAGTCACAATACTTGCTATTATATAGTTGTCCCTACCTTTCGAAAACACCTTTTCCACCCAGGTTGCCTCACTTCAATTTCGCAATCCTGAGTCAAAACAATTGTTAAAATTTTTATTTTGCAGTAATTGTTATTTATTCAGCACTTCAGTTTAGCATATGATTTGACATTTGGTGATTCATTTGATTGTTACAATAACCAAATGAAGTAGAAATGGTGAGTTTATCATAACATCCATTTTAGGCTGGAGAAAGCTGAGCCTCAGGGAAGTTAAATGAGATGTCCAAGTTAATTTGAGGAGGTGGGAGAAGCCAAGCCTCAAATCTAGGTCTCTTGCTTCTCTCTCTCATCCAAGCTTTGAACCAAAAGACTTAACTCTATTCCTAGAAACAAACGTGTGTAGTCAGTAATACACAGCCACCAGCAGTGGGCTGAACTTGACCAAGGCATTGAGATCTGCATTCCAGTGACAGAGCAGGAACTCACAAGCTGGTGACCTTGGTCAAGTACCCCTTGTCCTGTTGTTTGTAAAAGGAGAGTTTTGAACTAGGATCTCTGATGCCCCTTCAAGTTCCCAAAGTTCTATAATTCTACACCTTCCCGTTGCTGCTCTCTAATCCTTTTTCCAGAATAATCATCATAACCTCAGGAGTCATTTATTCTCTCCCTGTGTTTCCAGTATGGTGCTAAGAACTCTACTTTTCAACTCTCACAACATTCTGAAGACAAGTCTGTCTCTTTTGCAGGTATGGAAATTGGATTCACAGACAAAAGTTAAAAGAACTTCGCAAGATCAACAGAATTAATAAGCATCAGAGGAGATTTGACCCCAGTTCGGACTGACCCTGAGGACCGTGACTTGGTCTACATTATAACTGCAGAAGAACGCAGGCTCCCGGTGTTGCCAGTCACCTCTCTCCATGCCCCTGGGAGGCAAAAATAGAAAACTACGGGAAGGGCTTTCGGGGAGGATCCTTCCCAGGCTCTGGGGGCGGGGCACACTTCCCGGCCAGCCTCCGGATCGCAACTCCAGTCCTACCCTCGGGGCTGTTACCTTGTTGAGATGCGGGTTCCTGGTGACATCGTATCCGCGTTTCTTCAGGGGCACAGGGCGCGCCGAGCTGGCCTTGGAGTGGTAGTCTCGGGCTGGCTCGGAGGGTGCCCAGCGGGGGAGGGCGCCGCAGGCCCGGCCGGACCGGAGAGCCAGCCGCGGACCTGAGCCCAGCGCGGCGCCCATGGTCCTTGCGCAGACCTGGCACCCGGGAGAGAAAGAGCAAGGTCAGGGGCACCTCCCGGCCAGCCAGAACCCACGAGCGCAGCTCGGCACCGGGCCTGAGCCTGCGATGAGTCCTCGGGGAGATGTCAGGAGGCTTCCGAAGGGTTAAACGCGCCAGCCCCACCCCAACCCCCTAGGCGACCACCTGCTTAGCTCTCTGTTCGCAGTGCCCAGGCCTCGCCAAGTGCCAGGCAAAGCGAAACCAAGCCCAGGAAGCAGATCCGGTGCAGGTGACAGCCCGCTCCACCCCCGCCCGCATCCCTACGAGGAAGAGGGGGCTGCGCCGTGAGGGGTCCCCTCACCCCCAACCCCGCTTGGTGGCTTGCCTCCGTCCCTTCCTGGCCGGGTCTACCTGCGCTGGCCTGGGAGCTGATGCGGACGCGATCCCTCTGCGGAGCAGGCGGGGCGAGGCGCTGTGGTCTGTGGTCCGCCAATGGCTGCACCGCAACCGCCGCCGCGAGCTCGCGGGACTGGTGCGTTCTTGAAAGAGCGATCCCCAAACCTTTGTTCTCAGTGCCTGGCTTCCCGGAGGACGCGCGTGGGGCGCCTCTTAACTGCGCGCACGTGGTTGTCCGCAGTGACAAGATGAAGCTCAGATGGAGCTTGATGAGACTGAATGCACAAGAGGGGTCCGCGGTCAGGGACCAGTATCCTCTCCTCTCCCAACATTGGGAAGACCCTGGCTTCAGGAATGGGAGTGGACGTGCTCAGGTATCCAACGCCCTGCTTTGCTTTGTGCTGAACAGTACAAGGGTGATCAGCCATGTGTAGCTATATAAATTTACGTAAATTAATTAAAATAGAATACAATTTAAAATCCAATTCCTCAGTCACACTAGCCACATTTTTGTTCAAGTGTCACTTGTACAGAACATTTCCACCCGCACGGAAAGTTCTACTGGACGCTGTGGATATAAACGCAATCCACAGTTACTAAGAGGTATCCCGGGGACCCCACAGAGCTTGCCAGAGATCTGGGGGTCCGTCTAGCCTAGAACTTAATTTTATATTTTCTCCACACAGTAGTTGGGAAATTGCTCATAAAGCAAACTTTTCATTGCATGTGGAGTAAAACTCAAACTCTTCAGAGGCCTACAGTGTCTCCCAAAGCCTGACTCTCCCCTTCTCAGGAGCTCCAGCCCTGCTTGCTCCTTGGTTTCCCCACCCCATCAGCTGCCTCCCACTGCAGGGCCCTTGCACTTGCTGGTGCCTGGTCTTGGAATGCTCATACTCCAGCCTTCCAGACAACAGCCTCATTCCCGTCTCTCAGGCCCCCATCCAGCTGATCACTTGAAGGCCTTTCCACTGGCTTTCTGTCTGCATTAGGGCCTAATAGTGAAGGAGGTTTACCTTTCATAGAACTCCGTCTGTGGTCCTTGTTTTTCTGATTATTTATCACTATTTCCCCTGGAATGTAGGCTTCATGAGGACAGGCTCTTTGCCTGTAAACCCTCACTGCCTAGCTCAGCACCGGGTACACAGATACATGATAACTAGCTGTTCTGTGAATGAAGAAAGGGACAGCTCCTTTCATAAGGATTGTAAATCCTCAGAGGGACTGCCAGACAGAGGGCGTGGCCTTCTGCTGACCGCTCTTCAAAGCTCAGCCCAGGGCACTTTAGCCCTGTCCTCAGTCCCAAGCAGACTTTATGGGGCATGATGTGCTCAAGGCTGCTCCTGCCTGGCTTCCCTGGCTTCCGAGCCTCCTCAGGAATGATTGTCTCCTCCTTTCGTCTCTCCCTGCTCATGTCTAATCTCTTGTTTGCAATTTGAATGATCTATACAAAATCTCTCTTGCTGTTGGACTTTCTAAAACAGAATCAAAAATACCTTGTGAGGAGATAAGGAAGGGAGCAAAAAAAAAGAAAAAAATTTCTGGGCCTCATCCATGGAGATTCTCATCCACCAAGGTTTAAAGGCCTAAAGTCAGGTTTACTCTTGGATCGTATATACATAAACCAATCTATGAAATTCTTTTTCTTAAACCATTTTGAGTCACATATTTTATTACCTGCAGCCAAGATTATTAACTAATTCCTTTCTACAGCGTTTCTATATTTGTACATCTTCCCACCAGTCTACAAACATCTTTAGGGAAGAGGGGGTGTGTGTGTGTGTGTGCACGCGTGTGCGCACATGCACATGTGTTTCCATCTTTGATATGTAACATAAAATAATCAGAAACTTGAATAAGTTTGCCCTTGCTCAATTCAGTGACCTTTTCTTCACCTGCAGAATACAAGAAACCTCAGTCATTTGAAATTCAGCTAGAAACCAGGATATAAACAACAAAGACTTCCAAACAAGCAAATGTAATTTTTGAGCATCAATTCAGCAGAAGGTGGTAGCGAGAGAAGGTGGCTTCTCACCTCAGTGGAGTTTTCCCAGGACTGAGTTTCTTTCTCTCTGGCTGTTGGGCTTGTCTCTAGGTCAGCAGTTCTCAACCTGTGGGTCACGACCCCTTTGTATTAAAGGGTTGTGGCATTAGGAATGTTGAGAACCACGGCTCTAGGTGTTGCCAACTTCTGCACAGAAGCATGAATACCATGTCAGCATCCCAGCCTGTGGAAAGGGGGAAGGAAGAACTGGAGGGGCAGGCAGCCGTAGGGAAGTGACTTGGAAGTTGTACACATCACATTTCCACTCACATTCTATTGGTGAAAACTCAGTCACACAGTCACATCAAGCTACCAGGAAGGCTGGAAAATTTAGTTCCTAGTGAGAAAGGTGTGTACTCTACTAAAGCTCAGTGGGGTGTCTACTTTAGCTAAAAGGAAGAAAGGGAGAATGGCCAGTGTAAGTCTAAGTCTAATACTCATTTTATATTAAAGAGCTTGGCATGTAGTGGGTGCTCAGAAACTGTTACCTTTTATTATTGGCATATGTGGTTTTCATTTCTGCTTCATGGCACCTTCCTAACTTTTAGAGCCAAAATGTAGGATTTCAGAGGCCAGGTTCAGAGAAGAACTTCTTCCAATTCCATATAACTCTGACTTCCTTAGCCAGCCAGGCTTGTGATCTGGTCCAACACTAGATAAAACTAATGAGCCTTTAGAATTTATCCTGGCTCTCTCCCTTCACATCCCAGTGACTAATTTCTGTTACAGTAGTAACATCGCTTCTTGGGGTGGTAGGGAAGCAATTCCATTCCATCTCCGCCCCCCGCCCCCAGCCAAAGGTTCCATATTCCAGGTGCATTGCACCTTTGCTTTTCTGGTGTGATTACAGAGATTTAAACATCTACCTGCTAGATTATGAGTCTCTGAAGGACTAAAAACTACCATTTACAATTCTTTGTTATCTCCAGGGCCTGGAACAAGGCCTGGCGCTAAGAATGTGTTTAGTTTGTTGAAGTAAATAAAATGTCTCAATCAAATTTTTGTATAACCTTCCAAAGAGTAGCATTAAGTACAACCAAATTTGGTGCATTATTTAAAAGGCGTAAAAGTAGTGTCAAGTTAGATTTTTAATTCAGTCAGTTATCTTGTCTTCTGAAAGCAGATTTTAATGACCTTACATATAGATTTTTAAAAGAAGGTGAATGAAAAAGCCATTTTGTTTAGCTAATTCCATTGCTTCACAAAGTTACTCACAACATTTTATGTTCATGATTGCCGCCAAAGAACTCTTTAATTCTTATTGCTGCTCGTAATACTTGTAAATACTTCAATTCTATTGTTTTCTTACACCGAATGAGAATGGTGGGGAACATGCCTTTCCTCCTGGCCGGCATACCCCCCACCTGGCTCATGTGCCCTGCACTCTGGGTCTTGGCTCCAGCGTTTGCCCTGATCCCTGCCCCTGCCAGTTGCAGCCCTGTCCTTCCTTCACAATTACATTCAAACCATCTCCTTCAACAAACCTTCCCAGATTCGCTCTCTCATGTTCCCCAAACTCGGCTCTTTGTACCTTTTCCTATTGTACTTTCATAATCTGTCTCCCCATAAAGTGATTTATTTATCTGCCTATCTTCTCTGAGCCTCATAGGCACTCACAGAGGTAAGCCGCTTTGAATTCACATGGTCAGGACTCCACCAGTGACTAGCTGGTGTGACCTTGAGCATTTAATATGACCTCTTTACACTTCACCGTCTGTGTAGACAAAACTGGGGTCCTAACATTACTTCCCACATGAGTTTTTGATGGATGGATGGATGGATGGGTGGACTGATTGATAACTCATTGTAATGTCCTTACCTCATGTCAGGCACTGTTCTAAGTACGTAATGAACACTAACTCATTTAATCTCATTCTTTTTCTGTGAAAAGCTGAACTGGTTACTAAGCTATTTCTCTCAGCTCTAGTTCTATCTTTCTGTACCCTGACTTATGGCCAGATGTCGGACCCTACAAACCAGTTCTTTGGCAGCAGGTTTTCTGTTAATTTCTGCCCATAGGAGGCACTAAAGGGAGACCGGGGGCTGGAGAGAGGGAGATTCCTTCTCTGTTTGCTTACTTTTGGTTCCTTGCAGTATTTAGCCCAAACACATACCAGCAACAGCCCTCCACCCAGCATCAGCCTCTGGTCCCAGCCTGCAGCACCCTTCCCCCCCAGAACAGGCCCTCCAAGCCCCCACAGACTTAGCAGGGAGTCTCTCGCTGCACTGCCCAGCTTTGATGGTCCCAGCCTCTTCCCTTCATTCCTCCAGCCTTAGCAGTGGTACCTGCTTCTTGTGGTTACCACCCGCGGTGGTGGCCTCAGTGTTCCAATCCTCCTCATTCGGCCCTCTGGCACCTAGGAAACCTGTTGTTTATATTAAATTATTTTTGTCGAGATTTGCCTCATGTGGTCCTGCCTTCTCAACTTGACCCGTCTGTTACAGGTTGGTACAGTTACTATCCCCGATTTTACAAAAGAGGAAACAAAACCCAGAGAAGTTAAGTAACTCGCCTGAAGGGGCTGGGACTTAAACCCAGGCTCCAGATGCCATCGTGGTGCCAGGAGCCAGGCGTTCAGGTTTGTGCAGCGCTGCCCCAGGCCTGCTGCGTGGGAGCCCTACACGGACAGCGGTCCTCAACCTCGTCACCCTCTTCCGCACTCCTCATCACTGATGCCAGACGCGCAAAGCTCAGGGTGTGTGCAGTAAATGCCCACTCATCTGAGCTTAATTTCCTAACGAGGGGAATCAGAAAGGGATGTGGAGGAGGCAGGAGGACTCTGACGCCTCTGCATCCCACCCCTCAGCCCTCCTTCCTTTGGAGCTGTTACCGGGGCAACTGATTCCCCCTCTTTTCTTATCCCTCTCCTGCCATCCTTCTCCTGTCCCCTGGCTCTTGACTTTCATTTCTCTATTTATTAAAAGGGAAAAAACATTTCTCTGACGGCCTGAAAATATCACAAGGAGAAATAAAACAAATGTTAGTGGGTAGTAGAACAAAACACTGTTTTTCTGTCATAGTTTGTCACAGTTTTTAGTGCCTAATTTTAACAAGAAATAATCATATTTCTAATAATGGCACCCTATCAGGCTCCATTATCCTGTTATCCCAAAAGCACTTTGAAATCTTTGTTTATAAACTTGTTCAGCCTTCCATTCAAGCAGTTGTTGCGCCAAACCTAATTGCTTCCAGATAGGATACAATATACAGTATTTCACTTCTCACCAGACTCCCTGCCTCACTCTCATTTA